ATTAATAAAATATAATTATAGAAAAAAAATATTAGAATTGGCTCAATAGCAGTTTGTTTGACTCCTCTATAGCAATTTCCTGACAGTCTGCCAGGCGTGTTAAACATTTATACTCTTCCCTCTTTGAACTTTCATCTATATGTTATGTTATGTTGTTGTGTGCCATTGAGTTGGAACTGACCCATAGTTGACCCTTCAGTGGATTTTCAGAGGCAGTAAATCACATAGAAAGAGATTGCCCATCCTTTTTCCGCAAAGTAGCTGGTGGACTTGAAACATGTACCTTTGAGATTGCTCTGCAGCTTCTTATCACTAGGCCATAGAGTTCCCTATAAAAATTATATTCCATATTAATTACATATTTATAGGGAGCTCTCGTGGCCTAGTGGCAAGGAACTATGCTAGAATATTGAAGGCACTTGCTTCGAGGCCACCAGCTGCTCTATGGAAGAAGGATGGGCAGTCTCCTCCTGTGTGATTAACTCCCTTTAAAAACCTGCCAGAGGGTCAGCTATGGGTAGGTTCTAACTCTGTAGAGTTACACAACAACAACAATAATTATTTATAATAATTCCTTATTATATACTTTTGTTGTTGGATAGTATCAAGTGTATTTCAGCTCATTACCCCAAGACATAGACTAGAACTGCCCCCTAGGGCTTTCTTTGTAGGGTCTAATTTTTATGGAAAGGATGGGTGCAATGATCAGAGTGAACCCAGCAACCCTTTCACAGGAGCAAGATGTGGCAGTCTGCTTCTGTAAAGATTGTAGCCTTGGAAACCCTCTGAGGCTGTTCTCTTGCTATGAGTTAGAATTGACTCTAAGGCAGTACATTTGGGGGTTTTTTTAGTCCTTATGGAAGTAGAGTGTCATATCTTTCTCCTATGGAAACACTGACTGGGTTTGAACTGCCAACCTTTCAGTTAACATCTGAGCACTTATTTAACTATTTATCATTAGGAGCCCTTCATGTGCAATATATATATAGTATGTAGTATTACACTGTATTACCTTAAAGCAGTCAGCAATTATAATCAACATTAAGAATTAACTACTGAACAAATATAAAACCAAAATTAAAATGGTATAACTTTATATTCTTTCTTCCTGTGGGACAAATGAATGTTACAACATGAAATCCGTGAGTCTCCTTGTCTGTTTTAACTTTTCCAATGAAGGGCTAATAGTTTGGCCTATAATTTTATGAGAATGGTTTTATTTTTCAGGTCTTAACTGTTCAAGATCTTGTTGACTTTTCCCCTGTTTACCGATGTTTGCACATTTACTCTGTTTTGGTAAGTGTATTTCCTGACATACTAAAGAGACATGTAGCTGTTTTAGGCTTGTTTTTCAAAAGACTGACCATAAGTTCAGGCTGCTGTAAATATAAATGCTACAGATATTTGTGAAATATTCATGGCATGTAAGGTACTCACTTTTTAAAAACTTGTTAGACTTTTTTTGTTTTGTGTACTTTTGTGTGTGTCTGTGTGTGTGTAGGTGTGTGTGTGATTTGAGTGAAAAAGCAGTTTGAGAGCATATTGTTTTTCCATTCAACCACTTATTCATGAACATTTTGTTTTGTAACGATTATAATACCCAGATTGTAGCCTTACTTTTCACAGTTTCTGGCATTCTCATTTTCATGAATCCCTTTATCCTATGGGCAAATGCTCCCGTTTTTTGTTTTATATTGATTTTTATTTCGATTGTTCTAGGAGTGATTCTTGATTGAATGATTTGTTCTTGATCATTCTAGGAGTGAGTAGTACCTCCCTTGCCATGTCCAGTAACAGTAGATTGAAGATTTTGCCTAGAGAATCCTTTGCAACTCCAGACTTGAATTTGTTTTTTGTTCCTTTCAGTTTGAGAAATATCCTGTGTGTTCTTTCCTTTTGCTTTTCTACTCCAGCTCTTTTCATAGTTTGTAATAATACTTTATCTTTTTTAATTTCCCTTTGAAGTCTTCTCTTCATCTCTTTATTCACAATTCCTTCCCTTTATTTTGGACTCTCTACATTCGAGTACAAAATTTCTTGTACCTTCTGACACCAATTTAGGTCTTTTGTTTCATCATTTATGATTTCTGAAGGTATGGAAATTCAAATTTTGTAAATAAACTGGCCGAAAAAGAAAAAAATAGAACATACTGTCAGTGTATCAGAAAAAGAAATTAGTCCGTATGGAATTATTTCAACAAGTTGCATATGAACAAGAACCAGTGGTGCTGAAGAAAGAGGTCCACACTCCACTGAAGGCATTGACAAAAATAGAAATCCACTGAAATGGATGGATTACCAGTTGAAGTGTTTGAAGAATTGGGTAACCCTGGATCGGCCCACTAGTCTATGTGAAGAAATTTAGAAGACAGTCACCTTTTCAACTGGCTAGGAGAAACGCATAGTAGTTTCCATTAAAAAAAGTGTGATCCAATGGTGCAGAAATTATCAAATAATAACAATAACACATGCAAGTAAAATCTTGCTGAAAATTATTTAAAAATTTCTGAAATAGTCATCAGTAGAGTCTTTCCAGAAATTTAAGCTGGATTTAGAAGGGTTGTGGCTGCAGGGTTATTGCTGCTCTCAGATGGATCTTGACTGGAAACAGAGAAAATCAGAAAGATAATTTAGTTGTATTTTATTGACTATGCAAAAACATAGTCTGTGTGGATCATAAAAATTATGGATAACATTGAGAGGGGTGGGAATCTCAGAACTTTTTTATGAATGACATTGAGAGGGGTGAGAATCTCAGAACTTTTATTTGTGCTTGTATGAACAGAACAAGGAAACATGCATGGTTTATAATCAGGAAGAGTGAGCGTCAGAGTTGTATTCTGTATGCCGAGTAAATAAGAATCTGGACTGTATGAAGAATAATATGGGATTAGGATTGGAGGACTAAATGTTTATGAAAATTAAGAAAATATAATTATAGGAAAAAAAAACAAAAAAAGAAAAAAAACAGTAAAAAAAAAAAGGATTGGAGGACTGTTCATCAACAATTTGCTTTATGCAGGTGATACAGCTTATTTTGGAAGTTTACATAACTATGCCTTCTGTTGACCCCATGACATACCGGCACATACTTAAAGCATATGCAGATACGTGTAGAATTATTGTCTGCCAGACCTGTGTATGGGCATGTTTAAAGGCTTATGTCTTTCTTACGTCTTACTGGTTCTTCACCTCAAAATAGTATGTGTGGTCCACACAATCAAAATAGGTTTCTTTCTGCATGGAAGGCTTTGTTTAGATTTTTACAATAGTGGACTCATAAAATATTTGTCTTTTTGTGATGAACTTATTTCACTTGCATAATGTCATGTAGAGTCATCCATGGTATATAGTATCTTTTGAATTTCATAGCCTCTCATGATGTATATATATATATCATAGTTTATCCATTGATTTGTTAATGTGCGCTTAGATTGTTTGCATATCCTTGTTATTGTGAATAATGCTGCAATGAAGATGGATGTATCTATTTGGGTCACAGATTTAACTTCTTTAGGATATGTACCTAATAGTGGAATTGATGAATCAGTTGTATTTCCACCTTTTTAAGGAATTACCATACTGTTCTCTACATGACTATTACATTTCTGTCAGCAATCTATCAGAGCTTCAATCTCTCCATACCCTCACCAGCACGAGTAGTTTTCTGTTTGGTTTTTTTTAAAATTGTGTTTTAACAAAAATTTACAGAAAAGTTGGGTTTTTGTTCATTCATTGTTACATAGTTTTCCATTTTATTAGGCTTAGATGTTATTTCTGAGCCTTACCATTCTCTTTCACACCTTTTCTCTTCTCTCTCACACATACACCCTTATATTAGTATGCTTTAATTTCTTCCTTCTTGTTTTTGTGTCTTATGCAGTTGACTCCTTAAGTTACTATACTTTAACCCCTAAAAACTAATATCTTCCCCAAATGCAAAATACATGAATTATCTTGCTATTCTCAAACTGCTAAACCTATTTCAATATCAGCTTTTCAGTCCAAAATATCATCTTCTGTACCATCTAAATACAGTATGAATAAGATTTTCACTGTGTTTCATCTCAGGGCAACATTTTTTCTCCATCTATGAAATAGGAAACTTAAAAGACAACTTTTCTGTTTTAAAAAATACCATGATCGCACAAGTTAGGCATTTCTTTTCTAGGAGGGAAAAATTAGAAGACAAATATATCAAGGTTTTTATTATCAAGCAAATTTAAATTTTGGTGGGGACAATCTCATTCATTCTTAAGCTCAAAAAATGATCTTATGTTAAAAAAAATCCTCTGTTTTCTGGGTCTTTCTGGACAATGGCCCAACTCTACAGACTCTGGGCATTGGCCGCAGTCTGAATTGTGGATGGAGGCCCCTCAACCTTCAACATCATGTTTACCTTCCAGGACCACTTACTTAACTTTATAGTTAGTCTTGTTGTTGCCATGCAATGTGAAATATCCATTCAGCATTTATACACCAGTTTTTGTATATTTTTAAAATTTTTTATTATATATGCCAGTTTTTATAAAGTGAAAATAACTCCCTGTCGGCAGAGAATTTTTAGCTATGCATATATGTGTGTGTACGAATATGATTATTTTGCTTGTTTTATTTTAGGGCAATGAGGAAACATTTGAAAATTATTACCGGAAACAAAGAAAGAAACAAGCAAGACTAGTATTGCAGCCCCAGTCAAATATGGTAAGTATGTAAAATGAATGAATTGGTTATGTTGTCACTTTTTATAACCTTAACTTGCTTTCAGTTTTTCATAGCCTCCTGTAGTACGGTTCAACAACAAAAAAAATGTTTATTGTACATTTTCATTTCCATCATTGGTTTATGTACTTGAGAGTATATAGCAGTTAAGCCCTTCATTATGAGCTTATATGCATTCTATTATGGAAGATATATAATAAAAGTTAATATAATGTCAGGGACTGTTCATTACTATGAAGAAGCAAATATTACTTCCTGATGATATGATGTACCTTGTTTAACTACCAACTGTAAAAAGAATCCCTGAAGATTTTGGAAAAAATACTATTTTACATCTCGGATTTCAATTTATTATTCATTAAATTATTTCATGTAAGTAAGATCACATGGTGTTTTTCCTTTTGTGGCATTTTACTGAGCATGATTTTTCCAAGGTTCATCATCTGGCATACATCAAGACTTCATTTCTCTTTATGACTGAGTAGTATATACTACATTTGGTTTATACATTTATCTGCTGATGGACATCTTGATTATGTCTACCATTTGGGTATGTCAAAAATGAAGCAAAGCATTTGATACACAGATTTCTGTTAGCATTCCTGCCTTTTCATTTTCTCAATATATACCTACATTTGAGGTTGCTAGGTCATTTGGCACTTTTAACTTAATTTAGAAGTTAATATAAACGAAATTATTTGCGATACTGAACTATTACATGCAATGAATTTTTATGTACAAAATTATGATTAAATATCTCCCTATTATTTGTTTTGTGAAAATAGTGAATGTAGTAAAATTGTAAGTAATTGTAGACTATTGGTAAGGGGTTTAACTTTCCCATGGAATTAGATGACATTACCAGTGGGATTTTCACAGATGTAAGGCTCTGATTACCATTTTAAGAGAATCACTCTGCTGTATGACACATAGACAATAGAGGATGAGCCTGGAAGCTGGGGAGAACAGGTTGGAGGGTAATGTAAATAGCACAAGTGCGCCTTGGATGGTGGCTTGAACCAGCCTGTTAAGAACAAATTTTGAAATCGTAGTTACTTGGTTATCAAATTCCCTGCAAAGTTGCATAAAATCTTCAGGACTTTTTGTCCTAAAGTATATAGTATATGGTAAGCTTTCAGGAAATACTTGTTAAGTGAATGATCTTGTAGGAACTTATGTTTTATGTTACTCATGTTTTTTAGTTTAAATGAATTTTTCTTTTTTATTTAAAGCATGAAACAGTTGATGGCTATAGAAGATATTTCACTCAAATTGTAGGGTATGTATCCTGTATGGAAATATCTTTATTATCCTTTAATATTAACTGTCAAAAATAGTTATTTTCTATTTGAATTTTTTATAGCATATGTTTGTGATTGCTTCTTTTTAGGTTTTTTGTAGTGGAAGATCACATTTTACATGTGACTCAAGGATTAGTAACCAGGGCATACACTGATGAACTTTGGAACATGGCCCTCTCAAAGATAATTGCTGTTCTTAGAGCTCATTCAGTAAGTCAGAACATTTATGTTAATGTATTTTTATTTACTTCAAGGACTTCTTAAATATATAATATTACAGAAAAACTTCCACTATCTTTCTGTGTGGTTGATTTTTTCCCCCTTAAAGTTATTAGAATTTAGTATTGCCAGGCTTTTATTTGTCTAGTGGTATCAGGCTGTGATTTTGCAGCTGACTGGGACTTCCCAAGACATTTTTAGTCCAGCTTTATTGAAAATGAAGAATTAAGCTGGTCTCATTAGTCTCAACTGACCTCTTCATTAGATCACTGAACAGCACAGTGAAGAAAGGATTTTTAATTATCATTCCAAATTCTTTGTTTCCAAAAGAAACTCCACTATTAAAACTCAGTAGAACATGTTCTTCGATGTTTCCAGTTTGTTTACAGGAATACACTGTGATTATGAATTTCTTAAAAATATGTAATTGTAAGAATTATTTTGAAATAAGTAACCTTTATATGTTAAACCTTTATAGATTAAACTAGAATGATCCAATATTTCTAAATATGCCTTTGTGGAATAATTAACATCCTACTAGTAGTAGATTATTGAAATTAATAATTAGTATGAACTTTTTTCATAAAGTAATTATAATAATGTACTTTTTAAAAACCTTCCCTATTTAAAATATTATCATTCTTAGTATTCATCATAGTCTTGCCCATGATAGAGATTAAAATAAATGATTGGTGATTGTTAGCTTAAATATTTGGGTGTTTGCTAACTTAATATATATTTAGACTATATATTTATTTTTATTTGTCAGAAATAGAGAAAATTAATACCACTATTTAGCCTACGAAATACAACTTTTTCTAACATATTAATAAAGGGCAGTATATTTTATCAGTTCATATTCTGATCAGCTCTGAATATATAAAATGATAGTATAATTTAAAAATCAAAGCTGTGACTGTTGGCGGATTTCTGTGCATACCCATCTTGTAGGACAGAGTAGAACTAGTCTGTAAGGTTTCTGAGGTTGTACATCTTCATGGAAGACTGCTACATTTTTCTCCACAGAGGGTGGTTCAATTCAAACCACCACTTTTTGTCTAGCAGCCAAATGCTTGGTAACATCCTTGTCACTAAGGAGCCCCCTTGTTGCACTTCCACCAAAACAGATTTGTTTGTTTGGAAGCATCTGGTATAATCAGTACTCTTTCTCCAGCACCATGAATCAAAGGCATCAAGTATTCCCCCATCTTCCTTATTCATTATTCACATGCTTATGAAGCAATTGTAAATACTGTGACTTTGAGCGGGTGCACCTTAATCTTTAAACTAGCATCCTTACTTTTTGCATGGCTGTTGGTTGTTGGTTGTGACTCCAAGAAAAATGAAATTGTTAACAACTTTAGTCTTTATCTATCATGATGTTGCCTAATGGTCTAGTTGTGAGAATTTTTATTTTCTTTATACTGAGATGTAATCTGTATTGAAGATTGTAGTCATTGATCTTCTGTGAAACAATGTCTTGAATTATTTGCTCAGCATACAGACGGAATATTTATGGAGAAAAGATGCAACCCTGATACATACATTTCCTGATTTTAAATCATGCAGCCTTCACTTGTTCTGTTACAATGAGTGCTTATTGGTCTATGTATAGGTTCTTTATGAGTACAATTATGTATTGTGGAATTCACATTCTTCTTAACGCTGTCCTTGAATGTATCATTATCCATATAGTTGAATGCCTCTTTGTACTAAGTAAAATGTAAACATCATCCTGGTATTCTTTGCATTGAACCCAGATCCTTCTGACATCATCAGCAATGATAGCCCACAGCCTCTTCTGAATCAGCTTGAATCCTGGCAGTTCCCTGTTGATATACTGTTTCAACAATTTAAAAATAATCTTCAGCACAATTTTACTTGAATGTTACTGAAGTTATTGTTTGATAATTTCTGTATTCTTTTATATCACCTTTTTTAAAAAATGGGGAAAAATAAGAATTTTTCTGACTCAGTTGACCAGGCAGCCATCTTCTTATTTTCTTTCAAAAATAAAAAAAAGTAATTAATGAACACGTCCAGGGGCTGTATTTGTTTACTGGATTTCTTCTTTTAGTGCCATTATTTCTTGATCATATGTTACGTAAAATAGTTTAGTGTTGACCATTCTTTTTGGTATGGTGACTCTGTATCCCTTCTATCTTTTTGATGCATTTTGCATCATTCAAGGTTTTTCTCATGGAATCATTCTGTATTAAAAATTTGAGGCTTGAATTTATTCTTAACTTTTTTCATACTACCTTTTGGTTTTCTAACTCCAGATCTTTGCACTTTCTGTTAAAATGCTTTGTCTTCTCGAGCTGCCCTTTGGAATCTTCTCTTTAGCTCTGTTATTTAATACTTTCTGTCTTTTGCTTTAGCTTCTCTCTGTTCTTTCATGTCTGTCATTTTCATGACCTTTTGTTTTTTCCATGTATGAAACCATTCCACAACTCATCTGGTCTTCTTTAGTCATTAGGGTTCAGTGAATCAAATCTATTTTTGTGCTGTCTTTTAAATTTAGGTAAAGTTAACTCATGGTCATATTTTGGCTCTCTTTGATGTGTTTTCAGTTTCTAGATTTTCAATTTGAACTTGCATATGTGTAATTGATAGCTTGTTCCATAATTGACTTTGGTGTATATTTGTCAGGCAGGGTCCAATGTAAAAATCACCATTTTTGTGTTTTTGTAAAAAAAAAAAAAAGATTATTTACAATGAGTGAATCACTGATTGTATAAAATTGCATCATATTATATCCAGCACATTTTTATCTCCACGACTGTGTTTTCAACTACCAGATCTTTTTTTGTTTCTAGCTTTGCTTTCCAGTCACCAATTATTATTAATGATTATTGATTGTGTGTTCAGTCAGTTTCAGACTGCAAAAATTTGTTAGGAATCTTGTTTGTTCATCTGTGCTTTTTGTCTATATTTGAATATGTAACAGTTCTTCCTTGTATAGGTATGGATATAGTATTTTAAAAATCCATGAAAAACACAAAACCTCAAACCACTGCTATAGAGTTGATTCCAACTCATGAGAGAGATTTCTGGGTTCCCACAGTGGTCAATCTTTGTATGAGGAAACTGCCAGTCTTTATCCTGAGGAGCAGCTAGTGAACATCACTGACTCACCTTTTGGTTGTTGTTGATTGCCATCGAGTCTTGCATGACTTACAGCGACCCTATGAACAAAAGACCTGGAGCCTTTTGATAAATATTGTTTCTCAAAGTTCATAGAATTTCCTTCCTGAGGCATGTTGCTTAGGAAGTGGCTGCCACTCCTGCTTCCAATATCTTTTGGTTAGCAACTGGTATGTTATGCACTGCACTACTAGAGGCTCTTAAAATATGCTATACAGCTTTTTAGCTCCATGATGTTAACATATTTTGAATTTTATCACACACTCAAAATCCTTTCAAATACTCTTAAAGAGGACAGAGTAATTTTCACTGTTTATTTTAAATATTTTTAAATTAATAAAAAATATTTAAATATCTTATTCTTGTATCAAAAAACTAATTTGGTTGTGTCTTTTTTAAAATAGCAAATAATTGAAAATTCTGCTTATGGTGATGGAAAAGTTGACAATTAATGGTGATAGTGGTCAAGTATGATTGATGTAATAATTGGTGTCACCAAATTGTACATGGGAAAAATATTAAATTAGCAAATGTTACATCATCTATATTTTTAGCTAAAATATTTATGAGCTAAACAAACAGATTCATCCTGGAAAGGGTTAAAACGGGCAGCTCCTTGCAGGCAAGGATTCTGAGGCTCCGTCTGACATACTTTGGACATGTTGTAAGGAAGGACTGGTCCTTGGAGAGGGCCATCAAGCTTGGGTGGGTGGAGGGACAGCGTAGGAGGGGAAAGCCCTCTATGAGGTGGATTGATTCAGTGACTGGGGTAATCAGGATGGGAGTGTCAGAGACAGTGCGATTGGCGCAGGACAGAGCAGAGTTTAGTACATAGGGTCGCTATGAGTCGCAAGTGACTCGACGGCACATAACAACAACAACAACAAACAACATATAGAAAATGTTTATCAAGATAACGATTTCCTTACCTTCTAAAGACGGAAGTATAAATATCACATTATTGAATAGTTTGTTGTTGTTATGTGCCATCAAGTTGAAACTGACTCATAGCTGACCATCCAGCGTGTTTTCAGAGGCTGTGAATTGCCCATCTTTGTCCCACAGAATAGCTGGTAGATTAGAACTGCCTGCCTTTGGTTTAGCAGCTCAACACCTTACCACTAAGCCACTAGAGCTTCCTGACTGAAGTTTAGTGTACATAAATTTCAGGAAAAAATTTTTCATATATTTGAGTAATTTTAGGTACTTCATGTTACAATTTTTCTCTGAGAATTTTCACTTAATTAAGAAAACTTACTGTGGGTCTACCAAATTTATTATAATTTGTCTTATTTTTAGATTGTAGATTATAATTATTTTTATTTACCAGTAGTTAAATGACTTTTGTTTATCTGTGTTTCCACCCCGACTCCCTCCCAAGTCCTACTGCACTGATCCAGATCTTGTTCTGGAGCTGAAGAACCTCATTGTAATATTTGCAGATACTTTACAGGTGAGTAAATAGCCTTACATGTGCCACCAGGACTCATTTTTTAAAACATACAGACCTTATTTAAGAACTAATTTATTTTAATATCTTTGAAGTCATCTCACAATTCATCTAGTCTTCTGTCAGTAGTGTTTAGTATATCAAATAGGTTCTTTTTTTAAAACAAATATATTCTTGAGATGGTCTCTAAATTCAGGTGGGATCATGATTGTACTTTTGTTCTTGTGAACTTGTTTTAATTTTCTTCCTTTGCAACTTGAATTTGTATCTGAACAGTTAATGACCTGTTTCTAGCCTAGTTCATATTGATTGTTTTATTGATATTGCAAAGACTTTTGTGTATGGATCATAACAAATTGGGGATAACATTGAAAAGAATGAATTTCCAGAATGACTTAATTGTGCTCATAAGCAACGTGTACCTAGAACTACATGGAATAGTACATAGGAATACTGTTGTTGTTGTTATTTGCCGTCAAGTCGCTTGCGACTCATAGCGACTCTATGTACAACAGCCCTAAATCCTGTTTTATCCTGTGCCAATCGCATTGCCTCTGATACACCCATCCCGATTACCCCGTCACTGAATCAATCCACCTCATAGAGGATCTTCCCTACATGGTTTAAAATCAGAAAAAGTGTGTGCCAAGATGTATCTTTTTGCTATATGTATTCAGTTTGTTTGCTGAGTAAATAATTTAAGAACCTAGGCTATATGAAGAAGAATGTGGCATCAGGATTGGACTAAAGCTTGGTAACAGCCTTTGATATGCAGACAGCATAACCTTGTTTGCTGAAGATAAAGAAAACTTGAAGCTGAAGATGAAGAAAACTTGATGATGAAAATCAAAGACTCCAACCTTCAGTAGGAATTCTACTTCATTGTAAAGCAAACAAACAAAATGTTCATAACCAATAAGCAAAATGGAGATAAATGGATGAAAGATTGAAGTTTTCAGATGTTATTTTACCTAGATACACAATCAATACCTATAAAAGAAGCAGTCAAGAAATCAAAGGTCATATTGCATTGGAGAAATCGGCTTTAAAAAGATTTCTTTAAAATGTTAGGAAGCAAGGGTGTCGCTACCTTGAAGACTAATTCCTTTTGTTCCAAGCCATAGTATTTTTATTTACTCATGTAAGCTAGCTGCACTGCAATCCCAAAAGCATAAGGTTTGAATCCACAATATACTGTGTGGGAGAAGGAGGGACAATCTCCTTCCATGTGATTAATTGCTCAGAAAACCTGCTGGAGGGTCAGCTATGGGTCACTTCCAACTCGACATTGCAAAACACCACCATATGCATGCAAAAGTGTGACAGTAAATAAGGAAGAGTGAAGAAGAATTGATACATTTGAATTCTAACAGTAGTAAAGAATATTGAATTTACTGTGGACTACTAGAAGAACAAATCAATCTGTCTTGAGGAAACCTCATTGCTGTTAAATAGGAACTGACACATAACTGATCTTCTAACAAGGTTGAAGGTTGTAAATTGCATGGGAGGAGATTATCAATTCAATCTTTCTCAGAGTTGCTGATGAATTCAGATCTTTGCGTTACTAGCACAGCTTCTTACAGACTAGGCCACCAGAGCTGTTGGTCTTGAAGAAGTACAGTTCAAGTGCTCCTTCAAAACAAGAGTAGTGATTCTTCAGCTCACATAGCTTGGCTGTTTTAGCAAGGGGACCAATCCTTAAAAAGGACATCATACTTGATAAAATAGAGGGTAAGCAAAAATGAAGGAGACCACAAGAGATAGCTTGACGTGTATAACTGAAGGAGGGGAAGGGAAAAAAGTTGTGGAGCATTGACAGGTCTGGAAAAGGAGGGCGAGGGAACCGAGATTAGTTAATGGATGGAGTGAGTGAAGGGAAAGGGAGTGTACAGCCAGGTTTCGGTAAGCCGTTGTAAATAATGGCATTGTACAATTGTAATTAACGTTATAAGACAAAATGAATATGAATGATTGAATGAAAACCCAATTAATAAAAATGAAAAAGAAGCAGGAGCTCTGGTGGCCTAGTGGCAAGAAACTGCGCTGAAGTCCTGAAGACATGTGATTCAAATCCACCAGATGCTCTGCTGGAGAAGGAGGGGCAGTCTCCTCCTCTGTCAGTCAGATCCGACTTGATGGTATACAATATAACAACAACAAAGAGAAGCAGCAGCATATTCTTTAGGGGAAGAAAAAAAATTGACTCTTTGGCTCCAAAAACGACCTCAAAAATGGCAGCAATTATAAATATGAGGCAATGTTTGATGTTTTGTATGTGAGATCAGTGTGGGTCAGAACTGACTCACTAGCACCTCACAGCAACAGCAATTAGTCTTATTATATGTTAGTTGTTGCAAACTAGTAGTAACCAGTTTTATATTCCTCAGATACCTCATTTATATTCCTCAGATACCATGCACTTCTCCCCCCCCCCCATTTTCTTCCCAAGTTACAAACCTTGGACAGGAATGGATTAATACTACCATCTTTTAAAATATTAACCTAATTCAGTTAGAATAAAATATTTTTGTAGCCAATAAAAAGTAGACTATGCAGATTTAGAAGATGGAATTTCTGCCTTAGGGTAGGGAGTATTGATTCTGGATTCACACAGATTTTGAATTTATATTCTGCCTCTACTACTAACTTGTATATTTTTAGATTCTTCTTTGTAAAAATAGCTTTATTAGTTACTAGTTTTCAACATTGTTTTGAGTTTTTAATGTGATCTATAGGAAACCACATGGTGTACTAACTGTAGGTATTCATTTTCTTACTGTCTTATTTCATGTTTACCAATTCGATGAATGTGAGTCAGTCAGTTCTTTGGGGGCTTTGTTTTTCTTCTGTGAAATTTCATTAAAGCAGAAGTATTTTAAAAGCTCAATGCCTTTTTTGCTTTTGCTGTAATAAAATTTTAAGATTCCAGTTTGTCCCTTCCTTGGTGATAATAGGAAATTGGTTTTTAACATAATTGCATTTTGTTTCCAGTCTTAATTTGTAGATTTTTAAGGTCATTGCAAGAAAAGTAGACTAGCATTTTCCAAGTGTATTGCTACTTTAAAAAGAGTCTGTGGTCCAAAATGTTTAGGAAATGTTGGATGAAGTACAACAGATTTCTTCACTAAGAACCTTGCTCAGAGAAAATCTGCACTATAAATTTAGAAAGGGAGTTCTGGTGGCCTAGTGACAAGACACTGTGCTGCAATCCTAAAGACACACGGTTCAAGGCCACCAGCTGCTCTGTGGGAGGATGGACAGTCTCTTCCCATGTGATTAATAGCCTCTAAAAAGGAATGTGATCTATAGGAACGCCACCGGAAGGTCACCTATGGTTTGGTTCTGACTCTGTGGTACACAACAACATCATACATTTAGAAAAGGGAGCTGACTGTATTTTCCTGATATATTTATCCTTGTAATTTTCCCTTCTCTTACCTTAGAATATCCCTTAGATTTAGTGCTTTACATAATACATTTTGAGAAGTACTTTAGTAAATTATATTACTGCCTTTGTTAATTTATATGACTTGTAAAGGGAGCTCTGCTGCGGTGGTCCACAGGGAGTTTTGTACTACTAACCCCCAGGTGGCGCCTCTGGTGGTTCAAATCCACCAGTGACTGCTAGGGAGAAAGACGAGCAACCTCCTGTGTAATTTACAGAAGCTCACTGGAGGGTCAGCTCTGAGTTAGTTCAGCTTCGGTGGCAATGAGTTAAAAGGTAATGTCAGGGATTGTGAGGGATTTCCCCTCGCCAGTACAATTTTTGACAGATGTATATATAAGTTATATTGATCTCTGTATAGCCTTTGGTGGTGTTAGCCTTTAGTAGTGTTTATTTTTGTTTTCTGGTAAGAGAAAAACATTTGTAAGTATTTGTTGTTCTCTTACATGTTATTGCAAATGGAATTTTTACCTTCATTTCCTGACTTCTAATACATTTTAAATGAGCTCTGGTGGCAAAAAAGGCTCAGTGGCTACTAAGAAGTCTGATAGTTGATCCTACACAGCCACTACTCTGGAGAAAGATCTAGTGAAGATTGCAGTCGAGAAAGCCCTGTGGGGCAGTTTATATCCTACCACATAGAATTGTCATGAGTCAAAATCAGTGCGGTGGCATCTAGCTATGAAGTCCATGACAATGCAGTTTAAGTCTTATACCGTAATCCTAACTAAAAATAGAGAAATGGAAAAATTATTCCTGCCCCATAAAACTCTTTCTAGACCCATAATAAGTCAGAAGGAAATTTTTCCTCTATAATCTCAGAATAGCATATATTATGACATAATGATCACCTCTAAATGAGTTTTCAGTGTTCCTGACATTTTAATGAATATTTTCACATTTTGATTTGTTTATATTCTTTTAAAAATTTATTTTTGTATTTTAGGGTTATGGTTTTCCAGTGAACCGGCTTTTTGACCTTTTATTTGAAATAAGAGATCAATACAATGAAACACTGCTTAAGAAATGGGCTGGAGTTTTCAGGTTAGTCTAAGCTGTGATTCCGTAATGTGATGAGTGTGTGGAATGTTAAGCTAGTTGATTTTGAATTTAGCTATTAAAAGCTTGTAACCAGTTTTTAAATTCTACTTTTAGTTCTATATTGATAGCTGTTCCAAAGTTCTATCAGTTATGTCTTCTGTAGGGGTTTTCTGTTGGTGGATCTTTTCTCCCCTAGTGATTACATACTTAGAAGGCTGTAGATATTAAAAAAAAATATTTAGTATTAGAATATAGCTTTTAAATTTTGTTTGGGTAAAGTATTTTTACAAACAACATGAATACATTAAAAATCTTTAATAATCTACTTAGGAAAATTAATTTGCTTTTTAACCACTTGCCTTCCAAGCACGGATTAAAGTATTTTAGGTGTCTGTATAATTTTGAGTTCCTAGAGAAAGGGAAGTTCAACTCTCTTGCTGCATATTTGTAGTTTTAAAGTTTGTCTGCCAGCCTGTCTTTTGTGCAGAATTCAATCATTCTCTCTCCAGCTCCATTTCTGTCACCGAGTCCATGTTTTCCAACTACTGAATCTTCTTCTCTGTTCCCAACTTTTGCAT